AAGCCCTGAATGCCCCTGACCCCCACGGGACCCCCCCCGGGCCACAGCTCTGAACTGGGACCACCACTCTGAACTGGGACCACCGTTCCAAACCAGAGGCCGGGAGTCAAACTACGGCACCGGGGGTCCCCGGCAGGACCCCTGACCCCCAACCGCAGCACCCTGTGTCCCTGACCCCAGACCCATCTCCCGATGGCTCTGACCCAGAGCCAGGGCACCAAAGCGGGACCCCAGACCCACCACCCCATATCCCTGACCCAGTGCCAGGGGCCATACCCAGGACCCCAGACCCATATCCACATGTCCCGGACCCACATCCAGGGGCTCAAAGCAGGACCCCAGACCCATCTCCCCACGTCCCTGACCCAGATCCAGGGCATACCCAGGACCCCAGACCCATTTCCCCACATCCCTGACCGGGATCCAGAGGCCATACCCAGGACCCCAGACCCACCTCCCCATGGCCCTGACCCAGATCCAGGGGCCCAAAGCAGGACCCCAGACCCATCTCCCCACGTCCCTGACCCACATTCAGAGGCCATACCCAGGACCCCAGACCCATATCCCATGTCCCTGACCCACATCCAGGGGCCTAAAGCAGTACCCCAGACCCCAAACCACAGCACCCCTGACACCAGACCCCTCTCCCCATGGCCCTGACCCACATCCAGAGGCCATACCCAGGACCCCAGACCCATCTATCCACGTCCCTGACCCAGATCTATGGACCCAAAGCAGGACCCCAGACCCCAGAACCATCTCCCACGTCCCTGACCCAGATCCAGAGGCCATACCCAGGACCCCAGACCCATATCCGCATGTCCCTGACCCACATCCAGGGCCCCAAAGCAGGACCCCAGACCCATCTCCCCACATCCCTGCCCCAGACGCGTGTACCCAAACCCCCCAATGATGACCCCCAGTCCCCCATCTCCCCAGGCCGGACTCCCAAGCCCCCCTTCCCCAGACCCCAAACCATCCCCAAAACGCGGCTGAGAGAGGCCGGCATGGCCCAGCATGGCCCACCACGGCCCAGCACGGCCCAGCACGGCCCACCATGGTCCGGCAC